GTACTTAAGGACCACATCCCAGAAAAAAATCGAGCACCCAGGAGAGTATCGAAGCACTGTCGAACGAGTATCGCCTCCGAGGGCCAGACACCAGAACTCCCTTTAGTTTCGTTACTTTCTTGGTGCTCGAAATTATTTCGGGCGATCAAGGCTAAAGTAGGTAAGAACATCATAGCCCGAGGCTGGAAGCTCCCGAGAATAGCCGCACACGCCCTTGAACCTCGAACATCCCTGCCCCAGATCAGAACAAACTGCTCGGCAGCCTCGTGCACGCTCCTCGCCGCTGGGCGACGAGGAGGAGGCGGAGGAGGAGGAGGAGGAGGAGGAGGAGGAGGAAGAGGAGGAAGAGGAGGCGGAGGAGGAGGAGGAGGAGAACGGGGAGGTGGAGGAGGAGAGGAGGAGGAGGAGGAGGAGGAGGAGAGGTGGAGGAGGAGGGGGAGGAGGAGAAGGAGGAGGAGAACGGGGAGGTGGAGGAGGAGGAGGAGGTGAGGAGGAAGAGGTAGGAGGAGGGGGAGGAGGAGGGGAAGGAGGGAGGAGGAGGAGGAGGAGGAGGAGGAGGACGTTTTGGAGGGAGGCGCCCCTCCCGGCCCGCGCCAGGCCCGCAGGTGCCCTGCGCGGAAGCGCGGTCGCCCACCGGTCGCGGGGCGCCGGCGGGCGCGAGGCGGGGCGGGCGCGCGCGCGCGCCAGGGGCGCAGCCTAGCCGCCGCCGCGCTCGCAGCAGTTGGCGTGTGTGCTCGAGGCGGGGATCGACTGCAGAATTGACATACTGACTATCCACCAGACCACCCCAACCCAACCCGAAGACCCGAACTTTGGGTTGGGGGGGGTACGGGTTCCATATATATATATATATATATATATCGGGGATGGACAGAACCCCCTTTAGAAAAACGTGGTTTAGTGAAAACGACCTGAGGCCCAAACCTGGCGGGCGCAAGCCTGGAAAATAACAGCCACGGCGCCCTCTCGAGAACCGAAAACGGACAATTCACTAATCGACGTGTCACTGTTGGGGGTTCTGTCCACCCCCGAATATATATATATATATATATATATATATATATATGTTTTCTCGATGTTCCCGACCCCCCCCCCACTGGAAATGGAGGGCAAGTTGAAGCCTTCGGGTAGGGTTGGGGTGGTTTGGTGAGTGGTGAGCAGCAGTTGGCGTGTGCGCGCGAGGCGGGGATCGACTGCAGAATTGACACACAGTCAACCAAAACAGTAGGGATGCGCGATAAGGATGCCAGGGCCTTGGACGCGCATGTCGGAGCCTGTCGAGCGGGGCGCGGCCAAGGAAACTGGCCAAGGATGGACCGAGGAGGCGAGGATGCAAGGGTACCCTTGGGAAGGTTGCCCATCCTCACTATGCGGGTTGACTGTACCCCAAAAATATCGGCGGCGAGCGAGGGGGGGAGTGAGGAGGAGCAGGCCTCCTCGGAGGACGGCGTGGCTTCTCGGAAGCCCCACGGCCTTCTGAGATAAACGCCCGCCGCGGCTTATACGCTGAAACAACCAACAACAATTTGCGATAGTTCTCCGCGCAATCCTCCTGAAATCATGGCATCAATCCACCAACACCATCCCAAGTGAGAATATGACCCGGGCGCGTGAACTGACAACTCCTTGTTCAATATTGTCAATATCATTGTACATTGATGCGTTCCGGCATGTCGCTCCCGAAATAATTTCGCACATGGTACTGTGTCATGTGCTGGACACATAACGCATTCATATCGAAAGGGAGCGGTTATAGGGGCGACAAGGTATCGCGTGTATGCCATTACCAGATGGATGCGCAGACAAGAGCAGTCAAACACCGGTAACTACCACGGGCAACTGTCCATTATAACATATGTGTGTGCACGTGTGTGTGTGTGTGATTGTGCTGTTCGGAATTCCAGTCTGCACGCCTCGCCGCACAAAACGGGCAATTGGCTCACAAAGTGGCCCGGCTGTGCCGTTCTGGAGGTTGCACTTCTCCACCGCCCTGGGGAGGAGGCTCGTGTGCGAAAGTGCGTGTGCGCGCGGCTAGCCTCGACTTTGCGTGCTGTTGCCGTTTCTTGCGACGCAAGGGGTAAGGCCCTCCAGCGCATCGTTCCCAACATGGCGTCATTTTTGAAGGGGCCCAGGGACGCACAAATAAAGCCACACAAGTAACTGGATTCCACAGTTTCCCATCTTTTCTGGCTGTTTGTCTTCTCCCCTCTTCCCATATTTTCCAACCATCCTGTAGTGTTGGGTCCTCGTTTTGAAGAGACATCGCCTGGCATCTCCTTCCTCCCGCTGCCACTCCCTCCTACCCATCCCCCCCTCCTCCCTCCCCCCTGCGTTCCACCAACACAGTACAGCGCTTCGTGGCCCCATAAGGAGCTCCACCTAAGGCCCCAGTGGGGGTGGCCACATGCGTCCGCCACACCCAGTACAGCGCTTCGTGGCCTCATAGGGAGCCCCACCCAAGGCCCCACGTGGGGGTGGCCACATGCGTTCGCCACACCAAGTACAGCGCTCCGTGGCCCCATAGGGAGCTCCACCCAAGGCCCCATTGGGGGTGGCCACATGCGTCCACCACACACAGTACAGCGCTTCGTGGCCCCATAGGGAGTTTCACCCAAGGCCCCAGTGGGGGTGGCCACATGCGTCCGCCACACCCCCCAGCACAGCGTTTCGTGGCCCCATATGGAGCTCCACCTACGGCCCCACTGGTGGTCGCCGCACGCGTCCGCCACACCCAGCACAGCAATCCGTGGCCCCATAGGGAGCCCCACCCAAAGCCTCAGTGAGGGTGGCCACATGCATCCGCCACACCAAGTGCAGCGCTTCGTGGCCCCATGGGGAGCTCCACCCAAGGCCCCAGTGGGGGTGGCCACATGCGTCCGCCACACCCAGTACAGCGCTTCGTGGCCCCATAGGGGAGCTCAACCCAAGGCCCCAGTGGGGGTGGCCACATGCGTCCGCCACACCCAGTACATCGCTTCGTGGCCTCATAAGGGAGCTCCACCCAAGGCCCCAGTGGGGGTGGCCACATGCGTCCGCCACACCCAGTACAGCGCTTCGTGGCCCTGTAGGAAGCTCCACCCAAAGCCCTAATGGGGGTTGCCGCATGCGTCCGCCACACCCATGTCGGCACACGATTCACACGCTTCGTGGCCCCATAGGGACTTCCATGCGTCCGCCACACCCAGTACAGCAATCCGTGGCCCCATGGGAAGCTCCACCAAAAGCCCAGTGGGGGTGGGCACATGCGTCCGCCTTGCCCTATAGGGAGCTCCATCGAAAGCCCCAGCGGGGGTGGCCACCTGCGTTCGCCACACCCAGTACAACGCTTTGTGGCCCCATAGGGAGCTTCACCTAAGGCCCCAGTGGGGGGGTGGCCACAGGCGTCCGCCACGCCCAGCAGAGGGTGCTGTGGCCTTATTGCGTCCGCCACACCCAGCACGCCCCTCACACGCTTCATGGCCCATTAGGCCCCCGCCACGCCCAAGATTCATAGTCATATGAATTTGCACTATGCGTATCCATGCTCGCAGTCATGCACATAGACTTACTCGCACGCAGACTCAATCACAATCAGACGTGCTCACGCCCACTCTCACCCGCGCTCAGTCCCCCATTATCAGGTCTATCGTTTCCGTTCGTGTTGTGTACCCCGCCACACTTGTCGGCACACCCCTCGCACGGTTCCTGGCCCCATAAGGATCGCCACCAAATAAGATATCCACGATCGCGGTACTCACAACTGCACATGGCTGGGTCCTTCACCAGGATAAGTTCCACGATGTTCTGGGGATCGACGATTCATAGTGTCTGTGTTTTTTCCAGGGGCATTCAGCTTTAGATCCGCTTCCCCTCGTGGGGGGTTTAGCCGCATCCATCGAAAGCGAGCTTGAACACGAACGCGGCAACGCGCTGCAGTGGCCAGCCGGGCTAACGTCACCACGCTCAGGAAGAAGAGCAGAGGGAGGAGGAGGAAGAGGAAGAGAAGAAGGGGAACACCACGACCAACACAGCGGTGCACTTGTTTCCCTCTTTGTGTTGGCCACGTGCCTGAGCCCTCCCTCCCGAGCCATACAGGCCGACCGCACCTTGGAGACCTACCTCCGGACACGGTCCGCGGCTGACCAGGCCCCCCTGGCGGGCAGAGCTCATCGACCCAGGTTTTAAGTCGAAACATAAAACATACGAAACATATATCCAAAATGGTCAAAAGATGCCGAACAAAAAAGGCCCCATATTCTTTTTTTACTATCTTTGAATATTCCCCTGTAAAGGACAGGCCCGACTGAAACCCAGGTCAGTACCGCTAATTACGAATCCAAGCGCAGATGGCATGGCAGCGAACGGCTGATCTCACTCCAGGACGCATCCTTTCACACAAATGGTTTGTCGGGGGTGGGCAGAACCCCCTTTAAATAAGCGTGGTTTCGTGAAGACGACCTCGGGCCCAAGGCTGGCGGGCGCAAGCCTGGCTAATGACGGCCGCGGCGCCCTCGCGAGGACCGAAAACAGACAATTCACTAATCGACGTGTCAGGGTGGGGTTCTATCTACCCCCGATTTTGTATTTGAAGGAAGTTCTCCCCACACTCAATGAAGGTTGCTGTGATGTTATGGTTGTTGCCATTCGCTGGCGTACTTGATCACATCCGATTGCCGTTGTAACACATCGGAACTGTTCCCCGAGTGGCTCTCAGCATGCGCATTCGTTCACTGCCTCTGCCTTCGTTGGCCGGCGACTCACCCGTATCCGATATCCAACACCGCTTCCAAGTGGGCTGAGGTACTATGGAACCCAACGGAATCGGCCCGCGGGAATTACATCTACCCGAAGGGTAGAAGGATTTGTCCATAGATGCTGGCCACAAACGCCCGCCTGGGCGCGGTGGCGGACTCGCGCGGCAGCGCCTCCGTATCTGCCCTTTCTGCCGGCACCGTTCCTGAAGTCCTGGACGGAGCTCTCGAAGCGCTCGAGAAAACACTCCATCTCCCCTCGTGTTGCGCCTATGGCGCACGCGGCCGTGAGGTAGCAACACGGGTACTCGTCCGTGTGGGCGCCGTAGCTCTCGAAGGCCGTGCCGTCAATGGTCTTCCTGCGACAAGAAAACAATATGCGCAAGCGTAAGCTTCCGGATGTCCGCGCGGACTTCTTGGATCGGCGCTGCACCAGCCCCCTGGGCGCCAGAGCGCGCCAGGTGCGGCGCCGGATGCGACGCCAGGGGGCTCCAACTCGGATGCAGGAAATCCGCGCGGACTTACACGATGGTTTATGCCAGTGCCGATTTGCCGATTTGTCCTCCGGGTGACCCTGCATGGGAGCCCCTGTGGACCTCCGCGGCCCTATCATAAACGCGATTCGACCAGATTTCGTCCAGCTTTCGACCACGCCCCTTCACACTTCGCCCAGACTTCGCCCAGATGTTGACAACATGCGACAAAGTCTGGACGAAATCCCCAAGGCCGCCAGGAATTTTGGAGCCCTCTGATTTGGTGTCCGTTTCATGGGAGCCTGCGTGGCCCCTGGCGCTGTCCGATCTGGGCCTGATTTGGACCGCATTTGGACCAGAATTGGACGAGATTCGCCTCTTCACAACAAGGGAGACGACAAGAACGAGGCGGATGAAGAGGATGAGGAGGAGGAGGAGGAGGAACAGGAAGTGCGAGGAGGAGCAGGAGGAACCGAATGCGGCCCCAGTGCGGTCGAGATGCAGGAAACGCTGACTCCAGCGTCGCCGCCCAGGGCTCCCATGAACAGACGTCGAACTCCGAGGCTCCCATGGAGGACCACACAGCTTCCTGTACCTTCCTTTCAGCTTCAGGCTCTGCGGCCTCTCCTCTGCCTCGGCCTCCACGTCTGCGGCGGGCGCCTCCGGGCACGAGGAGGCCGCGGGCTGGCTGCACAGCACCACGCGCGGGCCAGAGACCCTCCGCGTGAACAGCGCCGACCCCAGGAAGGTCAGGTGGTCGACGTCGGCTTTGCCCTTCTCTCGGGGAACAGCGAATGACATGACATGAACTTTCGGAGGCCCGCGCGGACTTCTCGGATCGGCGGCGGACTCCACTGGTGGCGCCTCCAGCGCCGCCCCTGGTGCACTCCGCGACCTGGCGCACTCCGCGCGCCAGGGAGGGGGATCTAGCGCCGGTCTAAGAAATCAGCGCGGACCTCCGACAGCTCATGTGCATGTCAGTATCGGTTCCGCCATGCTCCGCCATCTCTTTCGCCAGCGGGTTCAGGTCGCACACGAAGGAGATCTTGTTGGCGGGGCAGCTGAGCAGTCTCAGGCCCTGCCTCTCCGCCGCCTTGGCAAAGCGGTCCTGGAACCACGCCGCGTTGTCCTTCCGCTCCTGCAGCAGCCGCTTCCAGCCAGCAGCGCCGAGGGACAGGAGGGTCATGAGCAGGTCCAGCAGCGGGCTCATTGATGCCCGCCCAGGGTAGATCTGCGAAATCTTGTCCACCAGCGCGGGCTTCGCCGCCGCGACGATGGCGCCGCCGACCGGCACCAGGAAATTCTTGTCCGTGCTCTGCACGAACGCGTCCACCCGCCCGCGTCGGCAGGCCTGCTCGATCAGGTGGCAGCACTTCGAGCACTGGAGGCCGTAGGCGTTGTTGATCACGTGCGGCACCTCCAGCCGCGCCGCCAGCACGGCCACCTCGTCCACGCTGTCGGGGACGCGCGGCGCGAAGGTGGAAGTGGTGGTGCAGATGCAGAGGACATTTTCAGCGCCGACCTCAGAATAATGAAACGTCAACACAAACGTAAGCTTGCAGGTCCGCGCGGATGTCTTTGACATGCGCCGAAGCCCCCCGGCGGCGCCAGAGGGCCCCAGGCGCGTCTCTTGCGCCAGAGGGGGTGGCCCAGCGCAGATCCAGGAAGTCCGCGCGGACCCCCGAAAGTATATGCTTATGACTTATGATGCTGTTCTTTTCGAGGCCTGCTCGATCGCTGCGGCCATGCCGTCCATGTCGGTCCCGAGGGCGTCAGAACCCTCCAGGGCCTTCAGCTCGACCACCAGCGGCGTCAGCCCCGAGGCCCCTATCGCTTTGAAACAAGACTTCTGGTCTATCCTTGAGGGGCAACGTTAGCGGAAGACCCGCTCACCGGGGGAAACAGTGAGCGGGAATGGGCGATACATCGCCGATAGATCGGGGACAAGCCCCCGATGTAGCGAAACCGCAAAGCCCTGAACGGTGTCGGCTATCCGGCCCAAATCGGCGATCCATGAGAACACCCCCAAACAATATCACATCATCTCTCTAAGCTCCGCACAGATCTCCCTCGTGTGCGACCTGAACCCGCGTACGAAAGAGATGGCGGAGAATCGGGGAACCAAACATGACATTAACATAGACTGTCGGAGGACCGCGCTGATTCTTTGGATCGGCGCTGACCCCCTCCCTGGCGCGCGGATCTCCGAGACATCATGTTCGTGCAATGTTTCGATGTCGATGTAGTCCGCTATGATCCCAAACGTGCCCCTGAAGTGATTGAAGGTGGATGTAGCTCCTGAAGTGATTGAAGGTGGAAGATTCGAGATGTGCGATGGAAGGTCGATGTAGTCCCCCCCTGATCCGATTGCTGCCCCGGAATCCTGGACCACACCACGTAGCGCCCCGCTGGTCGCAGCTGCCGCAGCGCCAGGAACACGAGCGTCATCGTGAGCCCCGTGGCGGCCGGCAGCACGCAGCACGCCTTCGCGGCCCTGATGCCGGCGATGTGCAGCGCGTCCAGGGCGAGGTAGCGCGTCAGCTGGACTGGCAGGACTCCGGGTGGCGCGCAGACAGCCCCCCGGAGGTAGCACGGGCTGCCGACAAAAGCGTACAGCTGGGGCGTTGACCTAAAGAACGATAGATAAGGAACGGGGCCCTCGTTTTCCATAAAATGTACTTCGATGTCCGATCGAACACCAAAGGGAAACCCAAGGCAAACTGTAAAACAGCTGAGGAACACAGAGCCCATCCCAAACGAGCAGGGTTCCTTCTTCAGCGCTTCAACTGTATTCCTGGGCGGCTCGAACACCGCTGCCCCAGGGCGCTGCAGAGGAAGTGCCGGGGACCAGATTCAGACCACCTTCCGTGCGCGGGCTGGCAGAAAAAGCAATGGCACAAGGCGCCCCGTAGGGATGCCAGGAAGGCCCCGACGGCCCACAAACGGCACCACGCGAGGCCCACGAGGCTCAAGCATGGCCTGGGATCTGGAGACACTCAACGCAAGGGACGCCGACCCAGAACTCCATCGGCAAATTTGTCTGACGCCGTGGATCACTGGAGGGGTGGATCTCTTTTCCGGGCATTTGTTTTGTTCAGTGGAGTCTAGGGTCCCCAGGGACACGAGAAAGAAGGCCGCACAACAATAACAACAGCAGCAACAACAGCAGTAACAACAACACCAACAACACTAACAACAACAGCAACACCACCACTACCACCACAACCAACAACGACAACAATATCAACACCAGCAAGAACGTCACCACCACCAGGAGCGGCATAATCAACAACACCAGCACCAACCTTCACGACATTACCACCATCATTACCAGCAACACCAACAACAACATCACCATCACCAGCAACATCACCACCATCACCACCAACCACAACACCAGCACCAGCAACCACACCAGCAACACCAGCAACACCAGCACCAGCAGCAACAACAACGAAAACAATGACGACAAACACAACAACAACCAACAACTCAAGACTGCTCGTTCATAATTGTTCGCGTGCCGTTCAACACGTATCCCAAATCATGGGTACCCGCCCTCTTCGACTTCGGTCGTACCCGCTTTGGGTCTTTCATACCTGCAGCATGTATTTCGTACAGCCCCAAAAGCAGGGGGAGACATGACGCATGGAAGGAGGAGAAAAAATGGGGAGGGAGGAGGATGGAGAGAGAAAATCGCAGATTAGGGGCCAGGAGCAGAAAACACCACACGGGCAGAGCGGACGGGTAGACCCGAACGGGCGGGTCAGGAAGGCGGGCCCATGCGACCAGGTCGAGCAGGCGGGCTGCTGATCGCGATTCCCAAGTAAACCACGTGATTCCTGAATGCCCATGGCTTTTCTCGTGATTCACAGTGAAATCGCGCTACCGCTCGAGACCTCCTTGCGATCCGTGCAGGACGCACGCTTCAGCAACCCGCCTGCTCGACCTGGCAGCCTGGGCCCGCATTCCCAACCTGCCCGCTAGAGTCTGCCCGCGCGGTCACCCCTTCTCCTAGCCCCCATCCTGCGAATTTCTTTCGCAACCCATCGTTATCCCTACCCCTTCCAGTCGTCCTCTTTCTCCCTGTTTGAAATAAGGCTGCGCGGAATCCACGTGGCAGGTTCGGAAGATACACCCCAATGGGAGACGATCGAAGACGACGACGGTGGATACCGAGGGTGTGGCATATACGTGTTGAAAAGACACGCGAGCAGATAGGAGCGAACAGCCTTAACATACTCTCGTTCCCTGCTTTAGGGTCTCCACGGCACGCACGTTGCAGGTCAGAGAGATATTCCCCGAGGGGGGGTGCGATCGAAGGCAGAAAAGGCGTGTATCGAAGGTTTGGGAGTCTCGCCGTGAGTGGCACGCGAGCAATTAGGAACGACCACTCTTAAAATGATCGTTGGTACCGTTGTTGCTGTTGCTGCTGTTGATGCTGCTGCCGTGAATGTTTTTGCGATGGAAAACTCATTGCTAAAGCAACAAATTGCTCATCCCCCTGTTGGGAACCATTGTAGTTCAATGCTTCTCCCAGGGTTCGTTTACAAGAGAAAGCGGTGGGTCACCAAACTATGCCCGTTGCCCCTGGGTAGCACCAACAAAAGCCCCTACCTGAGACGTTCTTAAAGTCAATTCCCAATTCGCGCTCCCGCGCAGGCCTCTCACAATATATACAGGAATCGCGCCCTCGCGTGGCATTTCGCCGCAAGGTATTCAAACGCCGCGCCCTCGACACTGAGGGCTCACGCTCCCGCTGTGGAATTCCCATCGATTTGCTTGGGAATCGCGCTACCGTTCAAACTGCCTTCGCGATTCATGCAGGACGCATGCTTCACTGAAGCCCGCGCAGACGAATACGAGCATCATCGATGCTGGCGGCGACCTGTATGGCCGCGTGCAGTCGGCGGGCTCGCTGGGCCCCCGCGAAGGCGGCCTCCGCGAAGCGTCGGCAACTCGTCCAAGACATCCTTTGCGACCCCCCGAAGTCTGCATATTTGGGCCCCGAGGCAAATTTCGCGTCACGAACAATGGAAATATATTGTCATCTGTATTGCGGGGTGGGTGTCGAAATCTTGCTCCCGATTCAACAGCCCGCCTGCTCGACCTGGCCCCCGGGACCCGCCTTCCTGACCCGCCAGTCGGGGTCATCCGCCCCCGCGGCCCGTCTGGCTCTGCCATGTGTTTTTCTTTTGTGTTCCGTTCTCCTCCCTCCCCCATTGCCCCTTCCGTGCGTCCGTCTTAGCTTCCCCTTGCCTTCGGGGCTGCACGGACAAAAACCGTTGCAGGAAAGACAGATCTAGACCCCCAAGGGGGGTACGACCGACTATGAAGAGGACGGGTCTCGAGGGTTTGGGATATACGCGTAGACTGGCCCGCGATCAAATGAGAACGGCCACGCTTAACTTGAACATTGTTGTTGAGTTTTCATCCCTCAATAAATATTGCTGTTGAACACCATTCAGTACCCTGCTTCTCCCGGGGTTCGTACCCTCTTGTTTTACGAAAGAAAGTGGGGGGGTCACCAAGCTACGATGCTGTCCCCCGAGCTACAACACCAAGGGCTCCCGCTTGACAGTTCCTCCCATGCACTCCCACATCGCGCCCTCGCGCGGGGCGTCCTGACAATGCGTTTGGGATCGCGATTACGCGTGGAACCTCGTCGCCACGTGTTCAGGCGCCGCGCCCTCGACACTCAACCCTCACGCTCTCGCCGAGTGGCCCCTGACGATTTAGGTGGGAATCGCGCTACCGCTCGAGACATCCTCGCGACTCATGCAGGACCGCACGCTTCGGCAACCCGCCTGCTCGACCTGGCCGCCGTGTTTCGCCTTCCCTCCGACCCTCCCGTTAAGGTTGACCCGCCCCCCCTGCCCGTCTGGTTCTGTCGTGGCCTTTTCCTGCGAATGTACGTCGTGCTCCATCCTCCTCCCTTTCCCCGGCCCCTTCCTTTCCGTCCGTCCTCTCGTCCCCTGCCGTGGGTGCTCCACGGAAAACATCGCTGCAGGTAGGGAAGAGGCGTGCCCGTAAGGGGGCACGGTCGAAGACGAAGAGGGCGGGTCTCGAGGGCTCGAGAAAAACGTGTTGGGTGGCGCGCGAGCAGATAAGAGCGAACAGTCTTAAAATGAGTGTCGTTGTCGCTGAAGTTGGATTCGTTGGACCAGTTACCAGTGTTGGTCCCCCTCCACCAGTGCAGTTATGTTGTGCCGATCGAGGTGCCTCCCCTCGGGGCTCGCAACCTTTTTTTTTAATACAAAAAAAGGGAAATCTCCCTGCTCGAACTGAAGTGCGCGGCCCCGACCTACAACAACAGCGACACCCGCCTGAGATATCCTCACAATGTGTTCCCAGGTCGCGCTCTGGCGCGGACGCCCTGACACACTACTTCGGAACCGCACTTTCGCGAGGGACCTCGTCGCAATGTGCACAGACCCCGCGCCCTCGACATTCAGGACTCACGCTCTTGCTCTGGCCTCTGTCGCGATGTACTTGGGGGTCGCGCCATGGCTCGAGCTCTCTTTGCTAGTCGTGCGGCACTCACGTTGCAGCAGCCCGCCTGCTCGACCTGGCCACCAAGGCCCGCCTTCCCGACCCGCCCGCGGGGTTCGCCCGCCCGACCAGCCCGTCTGGTTCAACCACGTGTTTTCCGTTCCTAACCGTAAGTCGGGCCTGTCCCCCATACAGGAGGATTTTCGACGAAAACTTAAAAATTATCCCAGTGCGACCCTACCTAGGAGTTGGAGCCTCTAGAAAATCACTAGTGGATGCTGTGCTGCGCTATGCTATGCTATGCTATGCTATGCTATGCGATGCTATGCGATGCTCTGCTATATTATGTTGCGCAATCCTTTGTTGGGCTAGGCTGGGCGAGGCTAGGCCATGCTATGCTATGCTGTGCATGCTGCGCTCTGCTATGCTGCGCTATGCTATGCTATGCTATGCTTTTGCTTTGCCTTCGCTTTTGCCTTCACGTTTGCCTTTGCTTTTGCTTTTGCATGGCACCCAGGGAGCGCCACTGGGGGAACCGCGCGGTTGCTTTTACCTTTGCTGTTGCTGTTGCTTGGCTCCCAAGGGACTGGGGGAACCGCCCGGGGCGCTTTCCACTGCCCGGCCCCTTTAAGCTACAGAGTAAGAACCCTTCTAGACAGAGCCTAGGTAGGGAATACACCAGAAATATCTAGTGCGACCCTACCTAAGATTTGGAGCCTCTAGGAAAGCAACATTAGTAGGAGCGGCAAACGCCGTCCTCCTCCTTCTCCTCATCGTCGCAGTTGTAGCAATAGCGGTAGTAGTAGTAGTAGTAGTAGTAGTAGTAGTAGTAGTAGTAGTAGTAGTAGTAGTAGTAGTAGTCGTAGTCGTAGTCGTAGTAGTAGTCGTAGTAGTAGTAGTAGTAGTAGTAGTAGTAGTAGTAGTAGTAGTAGTAGTAGTAGTAGTAGTAGTAGTAGTAGTAGTAGTAGTAGTAGTAGTAGTAGTAGTAAAGTAGTAGTAGTAGTAGTAGTAGTAGTATAGTAGTAATAGTAGTAGTAGTAGTAGTCGTAGTAGTAGTAGTAGTCGTAGTAGTAGCAGTAGTAGTAGTAGTAGTAGTAGTAGTAGTAGTAGTAGTAGTAGTAGTAGTAGTAGTAGTAGTAGTAGTAGTAGTAGTAGTAGTAGTAGTAGTAGTAGTAGTA